AAAATCAGATCAAACTCTACATGAATACAACTAATTACTTAGCTAATTTAAATAGGTGACAAAATAAGTTTAGACACTAAAAGCAAAGTAAATAGTCTGTAAGACCTTTTGTAAGTACACAACCTACAAATTCCTATAACTGCATTACTGTCAGGAAAGTGTCAAGTAAAGGCTCTGTGTAACATTCCCCAAATGGAAAAACACATTATAGTTATTGACCTGTTGCTCTCAGGTTCAGACTGAGGGGAAACTTGATGATTATTTAAAAGTCTTGTTGTGAAAGAGTTTGCCACTTCTGGAAGATGTCCTCTTGGAACACTTTCCTTCACAGTAGAAAAGCTTTGATTTACAACAGGTGTTGTCCGAAACAACAGTTCAGAATTAATCTGCTGGAAGCACAAAAAAAAAAAAAAAAAAAAAAAAAAAAAAAACCAAAACAAACAAACAAAAAAGAATAAATACAGGTTTTTAAAATTTCTTAAGGAAAAATATCCCTCTACATTCTTGTCTGCCATTTTGATGGAAGCCAAATTTTAAAATATTATCTTAAATTACAGAACCATCTTTATAAAGAAAATCCAAGAATATTAAGGAAACCAACTAAAAAACAATTATATTAGTTCTTAGTTAAGAAGCAATCCAGCTCTAAAATAAGTCACCAATACACAGGCTACAAAGAGCAAACTATTTTAGATTATGCCCTTCTTGATTTATGCCTGCATGAAGGCAGTATGTAATTTATAATCAGCCTTAAGGCTTTGAGAATTTGATAAAGATTATAAAACCTTTTAGAAAATCTGGCCCCACCATCTCAGATAACCTCATTCCATGTTCCTCTTTCAAAAACATCAAGTGTGGGGCGGAGCCTGAGGCTCAAAGGAGCAGGGCACTGGCCCCATATGCCAGAAGTGGCGGGTTCAAACCCAGGCCCGGCCAAAAAAAAACCACACACACACAAAAAAAAAATCAAGGGTGGCCAGTTTGGTCTATTACATCCTGAACAACAAGCTCATTCTTCACCTTTGTTCATTCTATTACATTATAATGTTGTACTGTTAATTGATTCAACTTTTTCTTAGATACCAATCTTAAAAGCAGGAAATTTTTATAAATATAAAAGCTTAAAGAGGTAAAATCAGATCAAACTCGGCTCAGCGCCTGTGGCTCAAGCGGCTATAGCGCCAGCCACATAC